GAAAAAGGCCTAAATGTAAGATATGACTCTAAATGCAGCGTTTTCAGGAATACAGATGCTTCTCAGCATTAAGCTGATCCTGTTTTGACAGAGACCAAACTACGATCCGGCTGGAAATCTGGAGGAGGCTGTAGGCTCTCATGGTTTAATCTCTGACTTCTTACTTGGCTTTAATATAAATTAATCATATCTCCTGCACGTCTATCACACAGAGGTGATGAATACTATGTTTTGAGGTTAATGATTGCTCTGTTCGAAGCTGTTTTGAGAAAAGAGCTATTTGAATGCAATCTATTATTATCAGATTAGTATTAATTATAATTTGTCCATTCATCAAACATAGTATCCACTTTTCCGTAGAAGGAAGAAAATCTTCCTTTGCCGCTGTTGAAGGGATAAAAGGGAAAATGGATGGTTTTCCCTCTGCTTTCTCTCTGGAAGCATTTGAAAGTCAAGCTTAAGGACACCGTCATTTATGGTTGCCTTCCCTGTCTCTTGCTCCCTTGAGACTTGCTTCTGTGGTATTAAGCATTATTCCTTCTTGGGGTTATCTTATGTATGACATGACCAGGGATGGCCTCATGGACATTTGACCTGTATAGTTACACAGAGCCCTGTGCTCAGAAGGGCCCCATATTTGCTATCTTGAACTTCTTAATTGACTTGTGAACTTCTGTTTTGTAAGTGAAGTTAACTATTTGTCTCCCTTAGGCTGAGGCTCATAGAATTTGCTTGGTTTTCTGTTGTTAGTTGGTTGTTCTTTGCAGTGCTGAGGGTCAAACTCAAGGTTTTCATCATGTTATTAGGCAAAGTGCTCTACCACCGATTTACATCTCTAGCCCTAGATTCTTAACCATTTGCCCCGCTCTGATCCCTGGCAACCCAGAAATCATCCAGTCTCCTTCTTCTCATCCTCAGTCATGGCCATTGCTTTATTCCATCCTCAGCAGGGACTGGGTACAGTCACAAAAAGGATCTGAATAGCTGAGTGTTCTGTGAAGTCTAAGGTGGGGCATAATAAGAGCTGTCCCTGCTCAGAGTTGACAAGATGTTAGACGAAGCCCATGTCTCCCTGAGACAAAGGTCTTGTTTTCCTCTGACTCAGTAACTTAATATGCCCCATCAAGGAATTTATAGTACCCTTAGGAGTCTACCTGAAAACCAAAGACCTATCTGCTGTGGGGTAAGACCTGGGATTGTGGCAAGAAGAAATGCCTTGCCTTGACTTTTCCAGGTCAAGTACAGTGCGCCGGACTGGCTGCTACAGGAAGGGTAGCCAGCAGCTGGTGAGCCATAGGAAGCAGTATCTCTAGTCTCCTGGAGTGTGTGTCCTCCCTTCATGCTCCCTGTACCTGAAAGAACATGATGTTAAGTAAAACTCACCAAGCCATTCATTAATTCTGGCAAAGGAAGCATGACTATAAACTGGTAGCAACGAGGAAAGAGGGTGCAAAGCATAGGGACTCCATTATCTTTGCAGCTTTTCTGTCAAAAAATATGAACTTAAAATAAAACATGATGGGCTGGAGAGATGGCTCAGCAGTTAAGAGCACTGGCTTCACTTGCAGAGGACCCGGGTTCGGGTCCCAGCATCCACATGGTGGCTAACAACCATCTGTAACTCCAGTTCCAGGGATCCAATGCCCTCTTCTGACCTCCATGGGTATTTCACAACCTGGGTACACTTACATAACTATAGGCAATACACTCAGACACATAAAATAAAAATAATAAATTGTGGCTGGAGAGATGGCTCAGTGGTTAAGAGCACTGACTGCTCTTATAGAGCACCCACATGGCAGCTATGAACCGTCCTTAACTCCAGTTCCAGGGGAACCCAAAGCCCTCTTCTGACCTCTTTGGCATTGCACAACACAGGTGCAGTCACATACATTCAGGCAATACATTCCTACACATAAAATAAAGAAAATAAATAAAATAGTTAAAAAATAAAATAAAAGTAATAAATAAGTAAAATATTTTTGAAAACATGACAGAAAGAGAATGCAAAAGAGAACAGGGATTCATGTTCCAGCACCTCTATCGGTTTTTTCCTGATTTTTGACAGAAAGACCTTGCACTTTCATTTTGCAGATTCTTACAGAAAAATCTCTAGTTGAATGCGCACTTCTGCTTTCTCTCTTTCGATTCCTCCTCAAACTCTTGCTCTCCATCATGCCAGGCCTTTGGGTTTCGTTGGTCGCCATTACTAATAACTTTCATGTGCTGATCATCTACTAAGCTCTTTACCAAGCACTGGCTACTTTCTTTACTTAGTACCTTTATAATTTGATGAGATGAATATTCATATCCTTGTTTTACACATGGAGGGGGTGGGGCTCTAGGGTTACACAGAAAGCTCTAGACGAAGGTAAGTTTCCCGGTTCTTACTATAGAGCTGGGACTGTTCCAGGGTGCTGTGCGCACCCAAGGGTCTGCAGGCGGCTTGGACAGACGCCTTTCTTTCCATGTCTACAAGTACCACCTGGGTGTCTGCTGGCTACCAAACGCTGGATGTGGTTCCAGGGCTACAAAGCTACAATGTGGAAGCCAGTGCTGAGCTGCACTCACCATTTTCTGTAGTTGCATGCCTGAGTAGCAGGTGTTAGAGGCCACCTCCCGGCACATACATCTGTGTTCTATGCCTTAGTTGCTGTGATTAATAAACATAAAGTCTTGAGCGTGGGTTGAGAATTTAGGAAGTGACCAATCTCATGTAACTTCAGACTGTAACAGTTTTTGCTTAAAAAAAATATTGTGGTTGGCCTGAAGAAGAAAAGGTGAGGAAGCAAGATGCCGTTGGGTCTACCAGCCAGTCACATGCAGCTGCAGAGTCTGTAGAAGCATTGCACACCACCACTTGCTCTGTGTGACTGACAGCCCCTGCACCAGGAGGCATTGTGATACTGCTCTGAAGAGTTCTCCCTTCCTCACACTCTTCCATCTGCTCTCTCTCCTGGCACAATCAGTGAATTTCCTATCTGAAGCTGGAGTGGAAATCAGATCCCTGTTTTCCTCTTTGGGGAGAAATGTGCTTGGCGCTATATCATCTTACAGTCATTTTGCATAGCTGCTGATTCAAACAGCTCAGAGTGAACTCCTCCCCTCCTGGCTGGCCTGGTGAGTGTCTAGTCCCAGTTAGAGGTTGCAGGTGGAGATGTAGAAAACACCAGGCCAGCAAAGCCAGAGCAGCTGGGAAGTGGTCGGTTGGACTTTTTCTTCTATCAGAGGCAGGGGGTGAGGGTGGGGGCAGGGCTCTGGCCCTTCAGGCAGAGCCTCCTGGAAGAAGTGCTTTTCTGAAAGGGAACAGGGGAGGCAAGGGAATGCTGCGGACACACTAGAGAGAGAGAATCTTCCCCCCGTTGGGGCAGCAATGCAAAAGTGAAGAGGAAGAAAGGAGGGAAGGTACGTGCAAGTCTGCCTTGAAATGAGTTGTGTTGAAAACACCTAAATTCTAGTGTGCACATTTTTGAGGAGTGTGGGAAAAAATGGCAGAAGTTACCTCTGGTGGTAGTGTGGGTTCTCAAGTATGACATACAGGATGTTGAAGTTTTAACCCATCTTTACTCTGAAGTATACGCACACTATAGTGACGAACAAAGCCACGGTTCTGCGAAATGTGCATCTGTGGACACACTGCTCCATTTACCAGGAATCACACTTCAGTTATTTCTCTTTCTGCCTCAGATCATTGATGCCACATACAATAAAATAATTCAAATGATAATGAAAAGCTTTTGTGGCGTCATGGGGACATTTTTTAAAAATGTGTTTATAAACACTTTATAAAAGTGTTCTAAATCTGATAGGAACATTATATTTATCAGTGCGCATTGTGTACTTGTGTCCTAGAAGGCATGGTAGAGTAAATAACTTTTGTTCCTCACAGTCAAGTATGTGGAGAGTCACCTGCTTTTTAAATCTGAAGCTTCGTTAGTTCATCTAGAATTATAAAAATAATTCAGCGTTCATTAACATAGGTTTCTTAAGTCAATAACCTGAAGTATTTGTTTAGACCCACAAGCTTTTATAATGACTGACATGTTGTGACCAGGTGAATCAAAAGTGCCAGTCACACCAAAAAATATACGATGTTGAAAATACTATTTTTTGTATGGAACACTGAAAAATTTCCAGAAAGTATAGCTTCCAAAGGTAACAAATCAGCATCCCCAGCATTAATGCAAAGAAACTAGCCAGCACTCACATCTGACGCCACCTGAAAGTCCACTTCGGAGTTTCCCTGTGACCCTCTCACTCACAGAGGGAAGTCTTGGCTTTGTTTATTATAACAAGAGCCACAAGTCTCCCAGCCCAATAAACGTGTTCACGTAAAACTCCAGACAGTTTCTCTACACTGGAGTCTTATCAGGGAGACCTCATTTTACCTCTAGTTTAGGGACAGAATAGGCGAGGACGTGTGGGTCAGTGTTGGCCCAGTCCAAAGTTTTTCCAACAGGCGCAGTTAGCTCCGGAATGAATGAGTGTCCCGCCTGTCACCAGCAAACCCTTGTCCCCAAGTTGCCAGACAGTTTCCTTTAGAAGCAGAGCCGAAGGAGGAAAAGCCTTCCTCTTTTCTCCTCTGGAGTGCAAACACTCAGAAATGACATCACACACCCTACAGTGCCCCCGGGGTGACTAAGGCAGAGAGGGCCTGAGAAAACCCAGCTTCTGCCCCGAGTTTCAGAGCACAGCTATGCAGATGAGCGTCTAAGCGCTGGTTCCCGCCTTCTTCCTCTGAGGAAGTTTCTTGGTAGCTCACTGACACCTCATCCAGGCGAGGGGGCGAAAACTTGGCACCAGCCACCTCGGGCAGAGCACCGCGCTGATTTGCTCTGCTGGCTGGGAGAGCTGGAAGCAAGGAGTCGGCGGCCAGCAAACAATGAAGGAGCAAGGGGGCACCGTCAGCGGCGCCGGGACCAGCCGAGGTGGAGGAGACAAGGCGATGGCCAGCCTGCAGCCGCTGCAGCCTAACTACCTGTCCGTGTGTTTGTTTGCAGAAGAATCTTATCAGAAATTAGCAATGGAAACGCTGGAGGAACTAGACTGGTGCCTAGACCAGCTAGAGACCATCCAGACCTACCGCTCTGTCAGCGAGATGGCTTCCAACAAGGTAAGGACACTGCTCTCTAACCTAGCTGAGTCCCTGTCTGCAGCCTTCCTGTTGATCTGTCTCAGAGGACTTTGCAAAAGGGCGACCCTTTGCTTGGTCCCTGGTGCCACCGTAAGCTGAAATTCCCTCAGTAAGTGTTAATTCCCGGTGACAAGTCTCTGAATTGGTGCATTATGGCACATAAGCAAGAGACATCTACAAACTTTCTAAGTTACTAGAAAACTAAAATCGGCAAGGTCGCATATCGATGATGCTGCCCAGTAATCAGATGTTACAGGCACTGCTTGAAACAAGAAGTAAGCCCACAGCCTGGGCTTTTATAAATGAGAGAAGTAAGTTGCTTCCAAGTTTAACAAATTCTTGCTGAGGACATTTGGAGATTAAGAAGGCTCCCTATGCAATGCTGACATGGCCTGAGATAAGAAAGAAACAATATACTTTGCCTCCTAAGATATAAAGTTGTTGTTGTTGTTTTGTTTAAGATTTATGTTTCAAGGTAAAATCACTTGAAATCAAGTTTCACCTACATAGCAAAAAATGGTTTTATTTACAATCTCTAGAAAAAAACAGCGTTGAAGAGCTTTAATTATCTGTTATTATCTCATTTGTTTAAGTAACATCTGGACACCTATATGCTAATTTCTGGACATTATATACTGAGAGTTGTTGCTGGTTATTTTCTGAGTATTTGTGTTTTTTCTCTGAGAATCTGAACTGTATATATGTACAATAGAAGTTATAAGGTCATATTTGTGCATACACATGCGTACTTGGGGAAAAGCCTTAACACTGTATCTTCATAGAACACACCTTCAGCTCTTCCTACCATTCTAGCCTGAGGTGTTGTGATGTTGTCTTTCTTTTCTGAGGCTGGAGGAGGCTTTGCTCCACACCTTCCCTTTCCAACTTGAAGTGCATTCCATGATGTGCACCCTCCTCCCTCTTTTCTAGGGTAAAAAGCATCACTTTGGATCAAAGTGCACTGGCTCCTATTCAAAACATCTCACCAAAGGAAGGAGAGCATCCTTAAGAGACTCTGGGGGGAAGGGGAAGGGCTTCTTACTCTGAAGATGTTTTATCAATAATACCAGAGCAAAATGAGGCCCTTTCTGAAAGTTTAGTTCAGAGTTCTTGTTGATGGGGAAAAAAAGAAAAGGACACATTTGGGTTGTAACTAGTATTTTCTGACTTCTCTGAAGCACTCAGTAGAGCAGGGACTTTCCAGGCTGTTGTAAAACCCAGCCAGCTGCTTCCCCTGAGGGGGCTTCACTGTGTAACTTCTCCAGATCACTTCGGGATTCACGTAGAATGACTTTCACGCACGCTTTGCCTCCTTCAGAGCCCTGGCAGCTTCTGCTCTCTGCATTTTGTGGTCCTTGATAGCTATGTAAGCTGTAGATCCAAAACTTGGAGGTGATTTTCATTCAGTATTTTTCACCATAGAGGCCACGAATTTCTGGAGTCACCAAGACAAAGCAGGAAACTCACTTGAGAGGAGAAAAAGAATATTCTCGGAGAATCCACACATAGCCACTCTTCATTTTGAGTGCTTGCCATGTTACAGCATTCTAATGGCGCGTCTGTGTGGAGTGCTGGCCCTGACCATTGTCTACCTTGCAAAGTTATTAAAATGATTTCATATTTAGCATGGTCACTAATAAAGCACTGTCACCAGACATGGTATCGGTCCTGTTGAGAATCCCAGCCCTCGAGCTTCTGCTCCTGCCTTACGTGTCCTGTGCAGGAAGCAATGAAAGTGAATAGTGCTAACTGAAGACAGGCCTGAGCTGCTCCCATAGGTAGCAGAAAGCTTTTTGGCTCACCTATGTTCAAGAACTCTAATGGAAAGGTTGCAGGGCAAAGCGGTTTTCCAACAGGTGGCTAAGATAACTGCAGTCCTAAAAAAGATCTCTCTATTTAGTTATCTTTTTCAGTTTAATTATTCAAATCAATGCCTCAGGTAAAGTTGAACATAATGTCAATCACGACATATATAGTAATGCAGTGAGAATATTTTTGTCACCACCAGAAAGAATTAATCGATATTATTTGAGGGAGAACTGAGTTGTGCATGATAAAAATATTCCACATTAAAATTAAATGTCGAAATGGTCTGAGATTTCCATCAAGTGGCAGTTTGAAAATACCATCATTGTGTAGCCAAATTTGGTCCTACTTTGCTTATCCTCACTGAACAAAGGCGCCACAGCAAAACTGAGTTACAAAGCTGCCAGGAGAACCAATAATATGCAGAGAAGATGAAGGCCTTCAGAATTGGAAATTCATGGTTCAGATCCTGCCTGCCCCGCTTACTAGCTACCTTATATGGGCCAACTTAACCGCTGGAAGACTCAATTTTCTCATCTACTAAGCAGGATAAAAGTAGACCTGACCTCACCAGATTTAGTATACCCAGTGCCTAATATGCGAAATTCAGTTAGTAAATGCCATCATTTACTAACATCTACTACATTGTTGCAAAACAAATCTGCGTTTTTACTTGCATGTCAGTGAAGTGACCACCAGTTTTGTTTGCACAATCTAAACTTACCTCAAGGTGGCGATGGCAGAGCCACTGTCCTGTGAAAGGAGTGTAACTGGGTAACATGGTGCCAGTCTCTGTGTAAAGGTGGAGAGTTGTCTGGCTGGTGGAGGGTTTATTTTACCTGGGCAGAGTGGTGCATTGTTTATTTGATGGCTTTCCTTAACCTTTTTGCAGCTTAAAGAAAAGGAGTGACTCAAAGTGACTTTCCCAAGGGCAGATAGTGACTGTGACTGACAAAAAGTCTTTTCCTGTGCCCATGTTTTCTTGATCCTTTAAGGCTAGTGAACCAGAGGCCAAATGGAATTTCCAAATTTTAGATAAAGGTACAATCAGATGAGTTGGTGTTATAGATCATTTTCTTTAAAAAAAAAAAAAAAAAAAAAAGGCAAGAAGATGGAACAGGTGAACAGGAGCTTCAGAAGGCAAGGGTTTCTGATGATGGAAAGAATGTCTGGAACCTTCCACAAGCAGCCCAAGTTCATTAGACATGTTAGAGCTGTTTTGCTTAACGACAGATTGCCCTCTTGGATTTGTTCATTAATTATTGTTTCAACCGAATTAGAACTGTCTTACACTTGGGCAAAATGCATTAGCGCATGGGTTCATCTGTGGTAAAACAGTCTGATGTTTTGAAAACAGGATGCCTGGGCTCTGCCGTTTAAAAAGAGGAACGGAAAGAGAAACAGTGCAGAAAGGAAGAAAGCAAACTGCCCCAGCAGGATCCCCAGCCCAACAGCAGCATAAACAGTGACCTATCTCTCTGACCTTCACTGTGGCTCAGTTCCTGACCTCTTGTCACCAAAGCTGACCCACGTCATTGGAGGAGGATAGTAGGAATGGCACAGCTGCTGTGAGGGTGACTAGAATTTCCTGTCTCCTTCCTGATAGACGCAGTCAGAAAAGTACAGGGTTGCCGCAACAGAGGCTGAGGAACGACCAGCCCAGAACAGTCCCGGGGAGGCAGAGTTGTGATTGAGGAGGAACTGGGAGGGGTTCCTGCCCTTCTTGTACTGAGAAGCACACTCTCACCTAGAATTTTCAGGTGAAAAACATCAAAAGATCAGGCACAGGGCATGTTGACTGTCTGTCAGAAGACAGGCATGCTGTGGTGTTCAACTGCAGCTGTGTTCAAATAACTAGCCGCAGTCCCAACTTCCCTTCAAATACCCTCTTAGGGTATTTCCTTTTTCCTTCTCTACTAGCTTTGCCTGGGACAGATTTGGACCTAGAAGATGAAAATGGATGTTCTGTAATTGGGAAGGACAGTTGTGGAGAGCACATTTTCCTTTAGACTTTCCTTCAGAATATTAGTGGATATTTGCTAAAGAACCTCACAAGCTGTGAATGGGAGATAAGTGGAACTTTCTTGAGGGACCATAAAATCAGCTACAGACACCATCACTGCAGAAGTGGGTCCTCCTGGCTACACAGGTTTATTACTTCAGATCTGCAGGAGCTCGGGATGAACACTGAGCCAAAAAATGGGGTGGGAGGGAATAAAGTCACGCAGTTCTACCAGCCCAGAGCTGAGGATGCATGACACTGGAAGGCGATCATGACCAAAGCAGGCCAGTTGCTCTAATGCTGAGTGAGTCACTTTCTGTATCACTGAACAATCAGTAACTATGAGAAATCTTGGCTCCAACAGAACTAGAAGGAAACAAGTCTTATTGGCCAACAGATTGATCTTAGAATTCCATCAGTTAAGGGAAGGCAGGATGCTGATTGATTAATCAATGACAATGATTAGCAATGTTGCTTTTAACAAAGAGGGTCCTGTTTTTGAAGGGAGTCTTAGTCTGTTCTTCCTCCAGCTGCTCTGGGTCCCAGGAGAGACTTGATGAGACCAAAGGAGCAGGTGTGTTTCCATTCTAGACCATACTACGGCTCCGCAGGACTCCACATTCTCTGCCCAAATGTCTGTGCACCCTCTTCCTAGGGCCTGTATATGGATGTGCTGCTGCAGAGGTACACATGTTGAGGCCCCAGGGACAACCATGAGGCACCAATTTAGGAATGGGGAGAGTGTGTGGGAGAGCTTGGATGTGCAAGCTGTGGCAGAGGCTCACACAGGCCTGGTCATGAGACCCCTGGTGTTAAAGCAAAAAGAGGGCAGGACATGGTCCAAGGTGTAGCCCCTTCTCTGAGCTTAGTCTGACCTTCCAGACTGTGCTGCATTATCTGTCAAGGTAGGAGTTTAGGCAATAGCTTAACTTGCATATTTATGTACTTAGGCTTGTAATATGTATTTCACAAATGCTAGAGGTAACTCTTGATTTACAGGGTAGAATACAATGAAAAGCAATCCTGACAGCCGAGTGGATAGGCATGCATTTTTGGCTCAATTCTTTCTCCTTACCATTCAGGTTTATATACAGAGGCAGCGAAGTAAGTTGAAAAGAATCAAAATATAAGGCATGAAATTGAGTTCTACTGACTTTATTAGGTATATTTT